TCATTCTGAGAACTATGTAAAATGAAAAAAACAACGCCCCCCAAAAAAACCCTGTACTGCAAAAAAGCATTTATTAGATTGTGCTGTGAGCAGTTTTATTAACTTAGTAATGAACTTGCTGAAAAAAATAAGTGATGAAGCCACTTAATGGAATTGAAATAAAAGCCATGTTTTCATACAAAGCATACTGAAGTTTTATACATATCAATATACATTATATTCATATACAGTATGCATATATTACATACAAGCATTATATGAGTATATGTGAATTTAGATGTTTAATATCACTTAGAAACCGATATCATATTTAAAGCTTGGACTTTGGAACAAGTGGGTCTAAGATCGATTCACCATTGTCTCATAGTAGCCATGTATCCTTGGAAAAGGTAATCTCTCATTGACTCTCATCTTTAAAATATAGAAATAAAATTGCCTAACTCAACTTCATTAAATAAGGTCATATTTATAAGGTGCTTAGTCACACGAAACCCAACACGCTGATACTGAGAGGAGTCCAACTCATAGCTCACTCATTCACTGCCATATTATCTATGCCACAGCAGAACCAGCCTAAGGGCTTCCAAAGCTGTCAATCTTCAGAGGAGCAGAGAGCCTCATTTTATTCCCGGGGTGTGGCTGGTGGACTTGAACCTCCTGCTGACCTTGTGATTAGCAGCCCAACCCCTACGCTACAGTGCCACCAAGTCTCCTTATGACAGTGTTATTAGTAGTAATAAACTTGTTGCTGCCATGTTAATGTAACTTGTGATGACCATATGTGTATCAAGGTGCTTAAGAAGGTTCTCAATTGCTGATGTGTTTTTGGAGAGAGGGGGAAGAGTAGATTGACAGGACTTCCTTCTTAGGTGCCTTTGGTGAACTTAAACTTCCACTCTTTGGTTAGTCGTTACCCATCTTCATCATTTGCACCACCTAGGTACTCCATGAGAGTTAACATCAATAAACTCAAAACACTGCCATTCAGCCAGTGCTGACTGATAGCAACACTGTAAGGTATCTATTGTTTAGGTAGTGCTGTGAGCAGTTTTATTAACTTATTAATGAACTTGCTGAAAAATAAATGGTGAAACCACTTAATGGAATTGAACTACTCTTGTGAGTTTCTGAGACTGTAACTCTTTACAGGAGCAGAAAGCCTCGTCTTTCTCCCTCAGATCAGCTGGTGGTTTTGAATTACTGACCTTTTGGAAAGCAGCCCAATGTGTAGCCACTAAGTTACCAGAGTAGTATATAAAATACATATGCACACTTAGAAGCCTTGTATATGACTTGGGAGTGCGTGAAAGGCTTTGTATTTTCAAGTTTATGGTATGAAATACATTTCATGGCTTGACAGAATGTATCATTCTGAGTCTGTAACAATTATTTATGCCACATTAATGGAGTCTATGATAGAACTCCTAAACATTGTGTTTTATTACATTCCCCCATTGACAGTCACAGACACCTTTTGTCAACAGAAAAACAGATCTGTTGACTGCCTCTTTTCAGAACAGCATCTCCATGTCTGTGTTGAATTCATAATATAGTACTGTAAAGGGCTTGGAAGACATGGTATTTACCAGGCTCAAAATAGCATACCTCATGACAAATTCTAAAAAACGCTACCACAGCCTACTGAAATGGTATTTTCTGGTATTCCCTGTTGCAATTTCTGATATAACCCACTGCCACAATGACAGCCAGTACATGCCAGTGATCTTGATAACATTTCTGCTTTCCTTTCAACTCCTGATTGGCCTTTGGCAGTCTAAGTAAGTGAGGCTGTCATTCCATCTCCCGCCCTTATGAAATTGAATTGTACGGAAGAGACGTAGCCAAAAGTTTGAGATATTTGATTGACGTCTTCCATATAGCCTCCTCTCTCTAAAAGTAACAGTGCCGTGAAACCGCTGCCCGTACCTTTATTTGCGGAGGGAAGAGCAGATGGGAAGGACAGCAGATTGGAAGGCTGCGGAGTGGAAACCACTGTGACTTTCGCTTCCTCAGGAAAGTAGGCACCGCCCCCCTTTGACTGGGCAAACACACAGCATCAGAGGAACATGGAGCAGCAGAAGATGGGAATGCCCTTGTTATGCCCTTGTTCCTTCACGCCTTCCGTGAGAGGGAGCACGGGCCTATTGTAATGGCATTTTACCTGGTTTAGGATTTACAAAGTTAAAAGAAAAATCATTCTAAGATACATAAACTTTTTAAGACTTTTAGCTGCCCATTTTTACATTGCTTCTTTGATAGTGCTATAGGTGGTTTATTTGTGGAAATTTAATTAGCGTTTCAGGGAGAAAACAAAACAAACAAACGGATGTTTCTGTAGTTTACCTTGTTGACAAATCTCAAATTCTCCAGATGGCAGCTCTAATATGATTGTGCTGTTGTTAAAAATTAGAAATGGATATTGCTCTAAAGATAGTCATTTGCTAAGAAAAAGCAAATGATATATGAACATGGAAAATTATGATAGATGAACATAAGACACTGTGAGCAATCTTTGCTATTTGGGTATTCTTGAGCTCTTACTGAACACATAGCCAGTAATGTATAAATACGTGACATTGATGGTGAACTTAGCAACTAATTCTACCCAGTTTTTAAAGTCTCTGATTAATATACAATCAACTGCTTTGCATTTCTATGCATTTGGTGATATTAGTCGCACCAGGATGATTTGTGCATGTTTGTTCCATGAACAGTATGGGGTTAGGAAATGTATCCAAATCTGATAGCTCGATCCCAATAGGTCTATCATTTATACAGCTACACCTGGGCTCTGTTGGTAGTTTTGAGCCTGTCTGCGCTGAAGAGCCATCATTAGCACTTCTCACAGAAAAAGACTAATTCTCTGAGTCAGACATGAAAATTACTGACTCATTTCCTTACCTTAACATTCCCAATCCTACATCCCAATAATACCTAGGGAAATGTGCTGTATTACATAATAGTTGGAGTACTCCACAAATGCTTATAGAATGCGTGTTGTAAAAGGTCATGGTCACAGTCCCATGGACAGTGAGCATTTTGTCCCGCGATGACATGTTATTATGAACATTTAACCCCTTGGTGTAGAAGTCTGAAGTTAGCTCACTGAAGTATTTACTGCCGGCAGGTTGTCACTGCTAATCCCTTCATGGTACCCAACGTGCCATAGGAGACAGAGGTGTTATGTAAGCAGTTGCCATGCCTTTATTTTCTTTTTCACTGTCTGATGAGAGAATGCACTGTTCAGTTAAAGAACTGGAGCAGGAATAGTGATTTTTCAAGAAGCCTTCAAGCTGAGCTGCAGGTATCTAATTTAAAAGCACACTGCCTAGTTCACGAGTTAGTATATCCTTCTGACAAGAAATATCATTAAAGCCTAGTGATGGTACTTACTGAGAGGTTTTTAAATAATAATTTTCCCTTTAAAACCTGGCTGAAAAAGAGAATGTTTGAGTGCTTATATAGAAGATTTGATTCTTTCAGAATGTGTTTTTGTTTGTTTGTTTTAACAGACAGTTTATTATCATTCCCCCTAGGAGCAGGCAGGCAAAATAAAGCTGACTTTGAATCACACCGGATCTCATTCCCTGTTTAGGTCTGATGAGGGACTTGTCAGCTCTCCAGGTTTTACCTTTCTTTTTCTTTTTCAAAATTTTATTTATTTATTTATTTTAATCATGCTATTAGGGGCTCATACGACTCTTATCCTAATCCATACATATATCAATGGTGTAAAGCACATTTGTACATTCATTGCCCATGCCATTCTCAAAACATTTGCTCTCCACTTAAGCTCCCGGCATCAGTTCCTCATTTTTTTTTATTAGGGGCACATACAACTCTTATCATAATCCATACATACATCAATGGTGTAAAGCGCATTTGTACATTCCTTGCCCTCATCATTCTCAAAACATTTCCTCTCCACTTAAGCCCCCGGCATCAGGTCTTTGTGACTAGCGCCCAATCGCAGATCTTTGTTTTTGTTTTCTGCCCTCTCGATTTTGACACATGCCGTCATTTCAGGTTCTGAGGACAGATGAATGTAACATACATGAAAATGAACGAAGCTTCTTACTCTAAAAACAGCCGTGCTTTCTTTCTTCCCTGGTGGTCCCGTGTCCTTGGAAGGCCTCCCTTTTACCTAGTCACCGTGACACAGGGCGTCCTCTCATAAATGTAGAGGAGCTCGCCCCCCAGCTTACAGTCTGTAGTTTGTCGACGAAGAATCAAACAGAGGCAGAAGTGCAGTGACTTGTGTCAGGCACTGCAGCTGCTCAGTGGCAGATCTGCACCCGCAGCCTGGGTGGTCTGCCTTGTGTCAGGCACTGCAGCTGCTCAGTGGCAGA